CCGTACACGCCGGGGAAGCAGTGGCACTGCCCAGTCTCCACGTCGCAGAAGGCGTTGTAAGAGCCTCGGGCATGGCACTCGCACGCTGCAAGGACAGAGGGAAGGGGGTTGGATTTCCAGGACGAGCCCTAAATTCAGGGCCCCGACTGCAGCACAGCCCAGAGCAAAGGGTTTGACTTACGTCGGCACCCGCTCGGCCCAAAGCCGAAGGTGCCAGGGGCGCATCGGTCGCACTGCCTGCCAACGACGTTGGGGCGGCACTGGCACTGTCCTCCGCTGGGGTCACACACCGAGCTCAGGGAGCCCTGGGGGTCACACTGGCATGCTGAGTGGGGAAAGCATTGCAGAGAGTGAGTGCCGTGGCACAGGGCATGAACTGCCTCATCCCACGTACGTCTTCCCCCTGCAAACCACTCTGCCTGCACATCCAGCTCCCAGGCACAGTCTGCCCTCAGAGTTAACAGTTACGTACACAACGCGGTCTCGTGCAATAGTGCAGAAATGCTGAATATGATGTTCTTGCAGACATCTGTCATGGGGGTTTTCACCACACTCCTGCTGTTTTCCAGACACCGGTATCTTTGGAAAGTCTCCCAAGCGCTGTTCGTGACCACGTCTTCGCCTGAGCCTCCCACTGTGAATATGTCCAGTGATTTGCAGTATGGCATGAGAACAAGCTACAAAACAATTTTACAATGGCAAAGTGTCACTATTTATAAATAGCCCCCACCAAAATTGTGAAAATTCAGTATTATCCCACTTCCTAACATTCTTTTGGGGCTAAAAAGCAAACAGCCAGACAGAATTTGGAAGGGCAGTGATGGTATTTCTCTAGTTTTGGTGGAATCGTTCTGGTATCTAACAAATTCTTACCAAATCTACTGAATTCTATCCATACTAAAGAAAAAGGTTGACATTGGCATTCATGACACAGATGGCACACATTAGCCCCCCCAAAAAAACTGTGGAACTTGCTGCAGTCCTATAAAACACTGCAAAAGCCTCTCAGCAGAAAAACAACCCCTATACTTTGAGCCTGAAGAAACCTGTGCTGCTTTACATTGCTCAGCTAAAATCTGATTTCAGCCACAAGGAGCAATGCTGCAAAACACCACTCAGAATTTGCACAGCTGCATGCCAGAGGAAATGCAAACTTTCAGGGTTTTAAGAGCATCCCTGAAACAAATTCTGCTCACAGAGTCGATGAGTGTGTACGGGCTCTCTGTCTCCGTGTCCACCGAGGAGTACTGCGGCAGCTCCAGGCGGATGGTGTAATTCAGCCCCTTCTCGAAGCACACAGGCCGTGGAAGAACAACATATCTGGATTAGGAACAGGAAACAGTTCTTACTTCAAACATACAGCACCATAAAGGGTTTCAGGTGCCCCATAAAGCAATCAAGATAACGGAGAGCAGCCAAGGCCGGGCAGAACAAAAGCTGTGATGTGACAGAGGTGGTTTGGAGGCTTGAGCAAGTCAGAGCCGGTAAAGGTTATCGGCAAGGTAAAGTTCAGTCGCACCGATGTTCACTCACAGGCTGTGCAAACACTTCCCCCTTCCTTTACTCCGTGAAGAAAACATATCAGAAAATGAGGATCAACTTAAAAGCTTCGAGTCTACACACACACACACACACCTAAACATACTTTTATAACTGGAAAATGTGATGTCACTTTCAATTTTTAATTTTTTTCCTTTGCCTCGTTTTGGCCCATCCAGTTATACCAACCTGGAGCCAGGTGACAGTGAGACCACCTGATTATCATCATCAGGAACTGTGTTGCCACACCGGCTACCTGTGGGAATCTTGCCTGGACGTGAGACATTGACCACAGCTTTTTCCCACTGATCAGGCAACTGTGGGAAAAAAAGAAATAAAAAAGGCTGATCAGCATCAAGCAATATTTTTAAACTGCTGGGAGCATCCAGAGCTCAGGCCAGGAAAAGCATACACACAGACAGGGTGGTCACTGTGCTTCAGGGAGGATGGGGCTGCAGCTCCAATATCAATGGGGCATCTACTGGCTGCAGGTGTGGGCTAAGACCAGGCAAGCACCCCTGGACATCCTCCAGCACGACAGTCTCTCTTTTTCCCTCACCAAATAACATGGCCAGGTGACCAGCAGCCTCATCTCTGGCATGGCATCACCAGAGGGTTTGGTGACCTCCTCTCCCCCCACCTCTGGCTACTGCACCCAAGTTTTCAGTGCAGTGAGTTGCTGCCAAGCAAAGTAAGGAGCTGGGGGGATTTTT